TTTTGCCTCTGCTTAATACAGAACTGACTGACAAAGGATGGACACAGCAGATCAACACTGGGGCCAAATAAGCCCCTGCTTTCCTGACACGGTGAATACGGCACACGTGCAAAGCTCATCTCACCACCAAAAGGACATCACACAACTCGCTGGTTTGGAGGAAGGCAATGAGAACCATCAAGGAAAGGAGCCAGGGGACGGAGGCCGAAGTGTGCCAGGATCAGCAAGCAGCACGTGCACAGAGGGGAAAAGCAGCAAGAGGGTAAAGGAAGGAAGGGAGGCACGTGGCTCACCACTTCAATGCAAGAGCAAAAGGACACCTTAGACTGAAAGATGACAACTACAGCTGATCTAAGAAAGCCTTAGACACAGGCATATGAACTCACCAGAGTTGGAATTCATATTGGGATAGGAAGCATCTTTGAAGGTAGTTCAGGAATGTAGAATAAATTCTTCAAAGAATTCATCACACACTGTCAGCTTCAAGGGTACAGTACACATCCCTGACTTCCCTTCTTTCTAATTGTGTAAGTCAGGCTAACAAAAGACAACATTTTGATATTGGACTTCCTTAATACAAAGGGAACTTCTAGGTGCCCAGACCTGCCTTGTCTGAAGAATGTGTGCCCAAGCACTTGCCCGTTTTCTTTAATACACACACCAGCACATATACTTAACAAAACCCCAGCAAACTATAGAGAGGATAGTATACACCACACCCCCCACACCCCTCCCCAACACACTGGGCAGCCTTGCACCCCAGAAAAATGATGGGGAATAAAGGCCAAACACATCCTAGGGCATGAGATACAAGCCACACTTTTTAGCATACTACTGAAAACAAACACAAGTCTAAGAAACCCTGAAGAAGAAAAGGGCTAAAGTTCCTCCCAGAGAGGGTGGTGAGGCACTGGCACAGGTTGCCCAGAGATGTTGTGGATGCCCGGGAAGTGTTCAAGGCCAGGCTGGATGAGGCTTGGAACAACCTGGTCTAGCAGAGGGTGTCCTTGACAAAGGCAGGGGGGTCAAACCAGATGATATTTAAGGTCCCTTCCAACCCAAACCGTTCCATGATTCTATGATTAAAGATGCTGGGGCAAGCCACCAGACAAAGAGGAGCTGGGTTGCATGAACCAGGCTCACGGGGAGTAGGCTAGCACAACTGCTTTCTATGAAGGCTAATGGCATGTTTAACCTTTTTCCTTTCACCTGTTCTAGAGAAGGAATTTTCCACTCTGACACCTGGCACGAACATCGGCAACCACCAGGCTCCAGGTTCTGGTACACTGTGTGATAAGCAAGCCCACAGATTTTTGTGTTTGGAAGCACAAAGTTTGTATAAATGAAATACTGATCACTTCTGTATGATCTGCAGTGAAGGGAGAGGTGGCAAAGAGCATTTTAAAGTTCTCCAGCTTTGTTTTCAGAGGTAAAGACGTAGGTGATGACTTGAATATGAATCTTAGACAGCTGCACTTTTATGTATACAGAAAAGAGCATGCACGTAAGGAGTCTTTTTTCATCGCCCTTAGGAGATTCAAAAAAATTCGGGAGTGTGAAGTACATAAGTACATTATTTAAGTACACTGATTCCATTAAACAGAACCATTTGTTTTCGTCTTCTCTGCAAACACATCTGCCTAAGTGCTCCAGCTTCGCAGGGCGCACATGGAGTTTGGAGCATTATCCTCAGGGATTGTGCGCGGTTGGAAGAAAGCAGAGAGATACAGCAGTTGTTAAGAAAAAAAAAGGAGTGTGAAGTACATAAGTACATTATTTAAGTACACTGATTCCATTAAACAGAACCATTTGTTTTCGTCTTCTCTGCAAACACATCTGCCTAAGTGCTCCAGCTTCGCAGGGCGCACATGGAGTTTGGAGCATTATCCTCAGGGATTGTGCGCGGTTGGAAGAAAGCAGAGAGATACAGCAGTTGTTAAGAAAAAAAAAAGAGTAGTCAAGTCTTTACTAGTCTGACAGTTCCTAAAATAATGTTGCTTCACTTAAGCATGTTCATTCTTATCTGTGATCTACAGAACCTCACTAAAAGGTTACTTTTCCCTTGCCAGAAGAGCATCTTTAGAAGTTTATGAATGCCCGAACACAACAGCTGAACCCTGCCAGATGACTTTATGGTAAGAGAAGGATGCAGAAAGCCACCTCCTCACACGTGAAAAACACTTACAGAACAAATTTAGAGAATATACACAAAAAAAGAGCGAGTTTCTAGTATTCAGAGCTGTATGTGGCCACCTCATTATTTTGTGGAAAGGCACACATACCAATATCTTGGACTCTTCAGAGCATTTCCTCCTCCTCCTCCTACTCAGTTGCTTCTCACTAATGAATATTTTGAACAAAAACCAGCTTCTGCCGGGAAATTGCAAATCCCTGAAAACCACCATTATTAGGCAGCATGAATTGTGTGCACGAAACTCTGAAAAGCACAGCAGTTAGCTGCCTATTGGTGTGATCAAGGATTTATGACTAGTTATAGGATTGCCGAGGCAAAAAAAGTCCCCTACGCAAATCATTGTATTTATGTGGTAAACATCATTACACTAACTTTAAAAGCACGTATTTCCCACAAGGAAAAGTTAAAGTTCTGTAATTATACCATAATTAAGTCTTTACTTACAAGTCATGTGAACCTAAAAAAACCTTTATCTGTCTTCAAATGCAAAAGTGGTAGCACAGCTGTAGCCATCCCTGCGTAAACACGGGCAAGGCACGGGCACACGACTCCCTCTCTATAGACCAGGCAACCTCAGAGGCAAGATCTGTACATCTAGAAGTTCACCTGCTTTTTCCACCTGCACTGGTTGGTCTCAGCTCTGAATACAAGCCTTGCCTACCAAAAATTCACATTTTCGTTTGCTAAACAAAGTAGGAGGGGAAAAACACACAGGTCTTCAAAGTTTTCAACACAAAGAACTGAATTCTTCAACATAAAACAGCGGGTGGGGGTGGCTTTTGTGCTTCCCCTTCAACTTACAGGAAGCAGGAACACCCAGCATCTTTTGCACTGTGCACCATCCCTACAGATCCCCTCCCACCCCTGAAGTGTCTAGGCATTCAGGAGAGAATAAAAGAGTAGCCAGTATTGCCTGAATTTAACAGAATGTTTCATAAAATGTACAACTCCTCCTTATTCCAAAGGACGTTAACACTTTCCACAGTACTTTCCTGAATCAGGGCCTAAAAGCATGCCTGCACAAGAGAGATTATATCTGGCAGTAGTTTTTTAGCACTGACAGTGCTCAGCTTCTGCTGTCAACTACCTGGCATCGAGCAGAGCAATCCGAGAGCCCAGCTTTCCTTCCCAGGTATTCCTATTCCTACGCATCCCTTTGCTACAACTGCAAGGCGAGTCACATTTTTTCCTGGATGCCAGCTATTTGATGAGCCAGGGCATTCTCAGTTTCTTGCCAGCACAAAGAGGAATGAGCTGTTCTACAGTTAGAGAAAAAAAAAAAAAGGGCTTTCAGAAGTATTACCCCTGGTTCTCAGCAGGCAGCACCAAGGTCACATCTAGCTGTGTGTCAGGCAGCCTCAATAATTCCCAGCTCCACTGCAAAGTGACATTTCAGCCCAAAAGTAAAAACCCCTATCATCTTTGGGAAGAAAGGCACCGTCAGTACAGATGGATGTTGCATGCTGGCGACAAGTCATGCAGCAGATCCATCTGAAATATGTGCTGCACACGCACAGACGTCTCTTAGAATGAACAGCTCCAAAAACCCTTAGTCTGAGCTTGAAGTTTTGGACTTAAAAATGTAATACCAAGAAGCACAAAATTCTCAGCAATTTCTCAGAAGGACCAGGGTGTTTTCAAACCCATTAGACAACCTCAAGGTCTTGCGAGATGCCTTCTGCTGCTTTAACCTTTAGCTCTTTCTACAAGCTGGAAAGGCTACATCTCAAGAGAGGCAGAGCAGCATGAACCCAGTAGACTCTCCGCTGCAGTTAGCTGAGGAGGAACAAATGATGTTGAACGTGCACAGGGACTTTTGAACTGACTACTCCAGAAAACACTGGTAGTCCAGAATTTCCAAGCAAATCCACAAAGCTGTACTTTACATTGTTATTTCAGTAAGAGACTGTATACTAACAGGAACAGAAAAGTGACGGTGGTTTGACTATGCAAATCATGTTTTATAACAATTTATATAGATCTTTCCTTTGTCTTCCATGACTGCTTAAAAAACCCAAACCACAGTGGCAGAGAAGATTTCAGCCCAACCTGAAAACACCACATCACCTGTAACTTCAGTTTATCCAATCACTAAACTGTCATCAGTTCCACAATGTCTCTAATGAGAATTTACAATACCTGAGCCACAGGAAAACACGGCGTGGTGTGAGAGGACCCCATGCCAGCTAAATAACAATAAGCAATAGGGCAAAGTGCTAAGTCAATTGGAAGCCGTTGTCTCCAGAACCAGAAAGGCAAGCAGCTAATTAAAACATTGTGTGGGAGCCTGCATGAGGTGTAAGAGAGCGCTGGGCCACAACAGGCTTTGGATGTGTGCCCACGTAGAGAAACACCCTATTTAAAGCAACAACAGTTTTGAGAAGCAATGTTAACATTTGTGCCTACTCCAGAAAAAACACCCCCTCCCTCAGTGTTTTATAAGCGGTCTCCTTTATAGAAGTCGCCATGGGTTTCCAATTTTCTTGTTTGAGTCAAAGGATTATTTTAGATTTCGGAGGTCAGACTAATCAGGACAGGAGAAAGAAAACCAAATGAAAACCACTTATCCTTCGGTCCACATCTAAAGATCAAAAAAGAAAATCAGCTTATGAAACAAACCGTTTGCTTCATTATTCCTCTTGTGGGGAAACCTTTCAAAAAAGGTGGGGATCTGGGCAAAATCCAGAGCATAACTCTGAGAAGTGTGTATCCCTGGACATGACTGACACCCTGGCTGTGCACAGGTCAGGTATGAAGGCGCTCACACCTTGGCAGGGACGGTTGCCTGGCTGCCAACATTACTTACCGATCGATACTCGTGATAGATTTTATCGTATTCGCTGCCTCCAATTGTGATTTCTGGAATGAAGCGAGGGATGGCTACAGGATTCAGCACTCCGTCTTTGTCCTGAACGCTGAGGGGAAAGAAAAAGGAGCTGTAAGTCCACAACTTACCCCAAAGACAGCAACATCAATTCTGAGCTGGACCAAATATTAAAGAACTACTCCTCTGTCAAATAACACTTCCACGAGTTTTGACTGTTTTCCTGTTATGAGTAGTACCTAGTCCCTTTCCTCACACAGCTGCTGTGTTTTGTCCCCTCACCCTTGCTTCTAGCTTGCTCCTGGTTCCAACTTCTCCCTGCTTCTCCATTCCTTCCCCCAGGGTTATTCCTCCCTGGAGATGCTCTGTCATTCCTGGGAGCCTTCTCCATAAGGCACCTCTAGCTTTTTGCTTTCCTGTATATGCAACATGAACCCAGTGGTTTTATTGACTCCCACACACTATCTTGCTATATCAACTCCATTTCATTCCTCCTGTTCAATTAGTTTTCACAGACGAACCTCACAAGGATTAAAGTTAGTGCTCCTCCCCGAATTCCCACCCTAAATGGATGGACAGGAGGCAATCACAGGGTTTGGAAGCAGGCAGTGCCCCTAGCACCCTGCCTGGGAGTAACCAGGGAAAGCTTGCTGTAGCGACAGACTTCAGGATCCACCAGAAGTCCACGCCGCACAGCAACAGTGCTTTCAAATACTCCAAATTTAAGATGTCTGAGAAACTGCTAGAAAGCCACCTTCTGCATACCGGTATTATACACAGACCAACAGTGCCACCTATACGTAGTTGGGGAAAATTACATCCATTTGCAGTCAACAGTGACCAAATTCTAAATTCAGCACTAGAAACTGCAAATTGTGTTGGTTTTAGTGAACTGCATTTCTTTACAAATATTTACACATAAAGCATGCACCCTGAGGAAAGCAGTTAAGCATCTTTAAGCAATTAATTTTTTTCCCCCTAAGTCACAAATTTCAGGACCTTACCTCACAGCACTGAACTGTTTCAACAACTAGCCTGCTAAAGCATCCCAACACACACACTATAAACTACCATACTACAGGCAAATCAGTAAGAAAATACAACAATCTACTAAGTGTTGAGATAGCAGAAGGTAAAGATAAATGCCCTTTCACAAGGCCAGGATGAACAACCAAGATGCTTCCTATAAACTACTACATTATCCATCTTCACATACATCCAAGGTACGTTTCATGTGCTGGAAGCTGGGAAAATGAGCCCTCCTTTACCTCCTCACCAAAAAAGCAAGAGTTCTTTCAACGGCATGCTACCACCAGCCCTCCTGTGGGCAACTCCCAGCCTCCTCACTCCAGGACAGCTTAGAATAACTGAGCTGGGATGAAAGAGCTCGCCCAAAATAATGATCTAACAACGCAACTGGTTTTATTTCTAAATCCCAGCATACTTCAGGAAGAGCACTTTTGCACCTCGTAGCTAGTCCTGACGCCATGAGCTTTAATCTGTGTTTTCACTGTGCAGAGAGCAGAGACAGTGGTCAAGACAACAAACAGGAGTTTCAATCTGAAAAGGCACGTGCAGGCAGCATTTAAAGACCTTGCTGAGCTCAGGCTGAACAGCACAGGCTGTGGAAGATCCACTCATCTATCAATGAATAAACATCTCCGTCCCTTCTTCCCACAGAAATGGGAAAGTCTGCTCTCTGCCAAGTGGCAGCAGATGTTCTGGACCTTACAAGTCTGTAGGACAAAGCAGATAAAATCTGTCCAGGCGTACGTGAAGTATAACTTGACGCACACAAGTGGAGTCCAGTAGTAAACCAGTCTGCAGCTAATCCATTCACCTATCTCAGCCAAATGGCAACTGTAGAGGACAATTCCCAGGGACAATTTATTTTTAGTTAGCGGCCAAGACGGGGAAAAAAACTGCCGCTCTTAAAACTTCTTTGCTCTCACCACCACTGCCTCCGAAGAAACCACTGTACAACAAAGAAATGCAAACCCAACGACACCAAAGATGACTTTCTCCAGCTTCAGTTCTGCTCTGTACCCTAAGAAATAACTTTGAATATTAAAGCACCACCCAAAGACACCTGCCACAACAACGTCTTTAACCACAAAACCACATTTGCTTGCCAGAACTAATTCACTGCTAAATTTAAAGGTACCCTTTGTGTTTCCTTCGTTTTCTCTCTCTCTCTCTCTCCTAGCACTAAAGTACCACTATTTCTTGTTTTCTGGCACTTAACCCTATTTCCTAGAAGCAGCCCTCATCATGCAGGAGCACAGCCTCTCAGAGCGTGCTTTACCTAGCAGTAAATTGTGACTTTTCAAACTTAACTGAGAGCACGTAAGTGACTGCGTGGTCCTAATACTGTAGGATTTTGGCTCACCATTGTTGCAACCATCCCCAATCCTATCAGCTAGAGCTCTTCCCATTGCTACAGAGCAATCACACTCGCTAAGGATGTTACAGCAACGGGTAGCTCACCTCTTCTCCAGAAGCACCTATTACACACCTACTTCATGCATTATGCTCAGCACAACATACACGAGCAGGTACTGAGGAATCCGGATTGATGCTTTCCTGCCTCTTTTCACAGGAGGAAGTCCGGTTTCCCTTACAGGAATCTTAGAAGGGTACACGAATGTTACAGGGAACCTGCAGAAGCCTGATGACAAGTGCTACAAGCTGTCCTGAAGTTAGTGCTTATACTTTCTAGAACTTCTAGCACTCCTGTTCCAGGACCTTTGTTTTATACAGAGCTGGGGAAAAAAAGGCTAAGTCCCTAAATTGCCTGCCACATCGAACATCAGAAAGTCTTATGAATATATTTGCTAACGGTGCAAGGTAGGGTAAAGGAAGCAGACTGCTTGGAAAAAAACAAACCAGTCCAACAAAGCCCTAGTTTGCATAGCCTCAGCCATGATTTCTCAACAACTCTGGCATAATCACAAAAATTGAAGTGACAATACACAGGATTAGAAAACCACACTTCCTACCTAAAAGCATTCACTGGCCTAAGAGGCTTAGAGCCAGCAACACAAAAGCATCCCAAGTTAAATTCTACGCTTATACATGAAAGTAACTTGAAAAACAGCAGGTGGATCCCACTGGAAAACAGATTATTTTCTCACACACCTTGAAACCAACTTCTCACCCACCGGCTATTGTGTTTCAGGTTTGAATCTGAGCAAGTGGGTGGCATTCATTCCTCTGCAATTCCCACCCTTATTACCTCAGTCAGGGCTCCTCAAGCCCTGCTGTGCTTGGCTTCCCTGCCTCCCCGTGGCTAAGGAACGACACATGCGAGCGAGGCAGCGAGCGTGGATACGCTCACGATTCTGCCCAAGCTTGTGAGAGCAGGGGAAGGGAGAACAGCTCCTGACTCGTGCCATGGGCACGTAGAGCTGGGTGGGAGAAACGATTCCTCTTCCTGCACTGACCTTCCCTGCTCCTCCACTCATGCCACGGGCACGTAGGACAGCCGTGGGCGGTGTGACACCCATGTGCCTTTCCTTGTCTGTCATTTCTTCCTTGTCCATTTTCCCCAGAACATGGCAAGGCAGGGCAACGACAGACCTCAGCTGCCAAAGGGGCTCTGGCTCCACCGGTTGGTTAGGCAGAACAAATACGCCATGCCCAAGGTGAACTACAGCCACTCCCTTGGGTGAGCGACAAACACTCACAATGAATGCCAAGAAAGAAGAAAAAAAGGCTTTCCAAGAAAAGCAGATTTGCAAGGAAAGATGAGAAGGTGCAACAACAGCTCTTCAAATCTGTAAAAAGCCACTGCAAAGAGTAAATCAAAGAACTGTTTCAACAGAAGCGAGAGCGAAGCAAAGTGTTAAAGGAAGCGGTTCTTACGAGTGCCAGAAGTTTACAATCAACTATTAGAGAAGGTTGTGTTTTTTTTCCCCCTGAGTCTCTCCATGACTACGAGTGGTGGAAATCAGTGGTGGCTGAAAAAAGCCAAAAGATTTGTCCATACAAACTATGTTCTGCTCCAGCAAATCTGAAGGAGCTGTGGGGAGGTAAGATTTAGGTGCGGACTTGCCTGATGAAACAAGTCAAATGGAGTAAGCTCCCCGCACCAGGTGGTAAAGTAACACAGGCAACGTTACTCAAATTACAGCTACTCCTTCCAAAACATTTATTTTGCAATGGATGTAGACAGACACAATTTCATTGGGAAGCACACAGATAAAAACATGCTTGAGACAGTGCAGCAGCAACAGAACTCCTTGAGACGTTTCAAAAAGCCAGCAGAATGGGTTTTTGTTGGACTCAGACCTTGAAGAGGAAGGAAAGATCTGAGGAGCATCCTCAGGGAGATTCCCCCCAGCTTACATACACAAATAGGTGCATTTTTAACCTTTCACCAAGACATGCCTCAGTCCCACAACCACACTAACTCTATTAGGGCACGGGAGAGAGTACTCAAGGGCAAGACAGGGAGATAAAAGGTATCATTATGCAACTGATTTTCTATGGGTGCAGCTCACTGCTTTGATTAGCTTACTGATTTGCATTACCAAAGGAGTTAGAGGCCCCGCTGGGGTTCCTGTGCATTAGACCCTATATATGTAATAAAAGGGTTATTCTCACCCCTCCCCATTGATCTCCATCCCCCAGGCATGCTGGTACAAGCTGAAGGTGGAAGAGGTGAAACTACCAACAGCAAAGCCAGAACGGGAGCGGGATTAGGACCGCAACACCCTGTCTCCCACTGCGGTGCCCGGTCAGAGCAAGCTACCCCCCCTAACAGCATCCGATCTGAAACAGCCCAGGTCAGAGTGAGTGGGCTGGGCAAAATGCTGGGGGGCAGCGAGGGAAGCAGCTGCAGATGGAAAAACCCCAGAGGCAGATACCTGCTGCTGCCCGGCAGAAACACCCAGCAGAGGGCAGCACGTGCCAGCACAGGGAACAGGCAGCCCAG